TGAGGCACAGCAGATAACCAGAGGATTTCTGCTGCACCTCTCCAGCTGCACAGATGGATCCCCCAGGCTCTCTGCAATGAGCAGGGATTAAGATAACATTTTATAATAATGCAGGAGAAACTCAGGCTGTCCCAGGGCTCCCAACCCAGCCATCTCAGCAATGTGGGAGATTTTCAGCTGCAACACAACAGAAACAAGGATTGCAGGAGTAACTGTCATTATCCAGGAAAAAAATGGATAATTTACTGTGGGAACAGCAGAAAGGCACAGAGCAGGGTGAGGCATCTGATGGGATTTAAACAGGCCAGGAGTACCCCAAGCCCAGTTCTGCTCTTTTGTAATACAAAAAGCCAGGATGAAATATTTACATCAGCGGGCATAAACACTCTGTGAGCAAGGATGTGGGCCAAAGACAATACTAATGGGCAGCAGGGTGTATTAAAAGGGTTGGCATCAGTGCAGGTATACTGAAAGAAGTGCCCCAGCTTCTTTTTCCAGAGAGCTCTGCCTGGAGATGGCCACTGTAACCCCAGAAATTCCCATTTGGCTGCTGCTATCAATACGGCAGTGGGAAGGACAGCCTGGGACAGGGATCATGTGTTGAGGGCACCAGGGACCATTTCACAGGCTGGGGATCTGCCTTCATACCACTGCACAAAACCCAGGAACTGGCGTTTTCTGAAAGCTTGTTTAGCAGCACCAGGGTAAGGAAAACTCACTGCTTCTCAAAACACTCACTCCTCTATTAGCTTACCCTTCTTGAACAAGGATATTTAAAGCCAAATTCTAGCTAAATATAGCTCCATCTTCCAACAGCCCAGTAATTGCAACAGTCTGTCTGTTCCCTGCCCAGAGGTGCTGCAGCATGAATAGGAATTACGTGATAAAACTCAACTTGCACTGCCCAAGGCTTGGAATGATCTTGCTAATCAATCCATTGTTCAACACTTAATCCTCAAATAGCCCAAAGAGATGATTTATTACTGGTCTCAACCTGAAACAAAAGTACCCAAAGGGTACACATACGTCTTTCATGGGGGTTCAAGAGCTACAATTAAAGATTGATGCTTAAGTAAGCAAGAGAGCACAGGGCTTTTAAAGTTTAACACTGCTGAGCAAATAAAAGCACCATTCCACTGACTGGCTGCAGTTAAGTAAATAAATAGACCTCAGATTATGTTTTCCAGTTGTGAAAAAGAATGGCCTTAGCACATGACTGCAGTAATTAGTGACAGATGAACTATTTTTGTCAGATCAGAAGGGACATGCACCTTTTCCCAAAGCCCCAGGGTGTCACTGGAGCCAAGCTGGGTTTTGGATGCAAGGGGAACTGAGGGGCCTGAAGGAACACCCAGTGTCCAGGCACATCTGATCTGAAACTCACATGGCATGTAAACATGTTCACAAGCTTTACACCATTGGAAAGGCTTCTCTGCTGTGTCCAGGTGGAAGTTACTGAAGAAGAACATCTCCAACCACAGTGTTCAGAGGAAAACCATGGAAATATTTCATTACATTAAAATCGAACAGAGACGTTAAAATTTTAAACAACTGCAATGGCATTTTACAGAATCGCAGAATGGGTCAAGTTGGATGGGACCACACTGGGGTCATCTGGTCCAACATTCCTGCTCACGCATCATCCCAGAGGACACTGCACAGGATTTTATCCAGATGGTTCTGGAATATCTCCAGTGAGGGAGACTCCACAGCCTCTCTGAACTTGAGGAAGAACTTTGCTCACTCACTGCACAGCAAAGTTCTTCCCCAAGTTCAGCTGGAACTTCTATCAAGTTCAGCTAATACAGATAGATAAGCTACAAGTTACAGATACAGATAAGATACAGGTTCAGCTGGAACCAGTATTGATTTGATATTGATTGTGCCCCCCTCAAGAGAATGAAAATAAAAATAATCTGCTTCATAATATAGAATATGTTAGAAACTGTAAACTACATAATCAGCATTGCCCTGCCTGCAGGACACAAATGGGACATCTGACCTGGGGGGCAGGGAAGGGGAATACTGGTGAATTTAGCATTTTGACCTCATGGCATTCACAGATTTCTGTGCCAAAAATACATTCCCATGATGCTGTTGGCCTAAACAAAACCACTGAAATGGGCCAGAGAAGGAGGCAGTGCTACCAAGGGGCCCTTTCCTGGGACACATCCACCAGGGATTTTAGGAGCACCCTCCCGGGCAGGAGGTGAATAGTGCTGCATGTCCCAAACTGTGCTTTCCCCCTGAAATGAGACTGAACTTTGTAAAGATGTGGCCCTGCAGACCCTGTTTTTGTGACCACACAGCCAGCGCTGTAAGCCATGGAGGGAAATGGGATGTGCAGTGAATTGTGACACCCTGGCAGGGAGGGCACTGGGGGATTTCAGGGCTCACCACTTTGTCAGCCAGGGTGGAACAGCTCCAACCCAGCTCCTGCACATCAAGGAGTCCAACTGTCCCACACAACACTGACCTTATTAAGCTGTTGCTACACAGGTAATTTGTGAAACTGGCAGAATTCCAGCTCTGGTGGTTCCCTCTCCTCAGCTGCAATTAAAGCTGGGCTGTCACCCCATGGCATTCAGAAAAACACCAGTTTACAGCCCATGAAGGACAGCTACAGCTTTCACCCCTCAAATATATTTATTCATTAAATGCTCCTGCACAGTTTTAAAAATTAAAAATAGAGGTTCAGTGCTCCTCCTCATCCTGGACTATGAACTGATTCTCTGTAAAGCTCCCACACCCCTGTTATTTTTAAATACCTAAATGACCATAAAACACAGGGGAAAATACTGATATGTGCCAGGTGCTGAAAATAAGCACCATGCTTCAAACACGCTTAGATAAACAGTAGATGAAACAGATTCCTTTCTCAGTGCTTTTGCTGGGGCAGGCTCCTGCTGAATTTCCTGGATTCTGGAAGGGGTCTGTATAATAAAGGAAGCCTTACCCAAAATGATCTATAAATTCCACTGTTTAACAGACTGGTTTAACATGCACACATGTGAGATGAGGGCAGGTGCTGGGCTACGTTAAATTTGCTTAAATTTTCAGGTTCCAAAAAAAAAAATCCAATCATTTCATTAATAAAATGACACCAAGAAGCAGACCTTGGGGTAATGGTCTTTAAAATTTGTTACAGCAGCAGACAGACCCAATTTTACCTCTATTTGAATAAAGGTCTCCAACATGCAGATGGGCTGTGTGAAAGCAGCAGGGATGGACTCCTGTAACAAGATCAGTCTACGAGGAAAGAAGAGAGGAGAGGAAGCAGCAGAGTCCTGAGGATAAGAAATGCCCCATGGCCCAGGTTCAGCTCTGCCCTCCAGACCCTCCTCAGCTTCTCCCACCAGAACATCTGGCTGTGGGTTTTCCATGCCAGGGCATTTTTGTCCCTCTTCAATAGAGGCTTGTTGATGACATTGAACTGTGTTATTTTGCTTAAATCTTCTATATTTCAAATGTATGCGAAGTCACATGGGTTTAAGTGGTTTCTGACTTGAGGTAATACTGCAGGGCATTTATCTACATTTTTGGTAGAGAAGGATGAGTACCACTTGTTAGAAACAATGACAAAATTTCAACTTTATTTTCATTTGAAACCATCAATTTATCCTGACAGGAGTCAATAATGCTTCTATCAAGGTCTTCATTGGAAAGGGTGTCTCAGAACAAGGACAGATTTTCTGTCCAGACACCCCATCTCCCATGCAGAAATAATCTCCTTTGCTAGGACATTGCACAGGAGATCTCCATCATTTGATTCAGCTCTGCTTGCTTTCCCACACCTGATTATTTGCAGAGTCCTCTCTCTTGTTCATCTCTGTCATTGTCTTGCAGGACAGGAAAAAGAATGAAAATTCTGTCCTGACAGATCAGAAAAGGGCTTTGTACAATTCCTCTGACACATAAGTACAAGTACTGTGATGGAAACAACACATATTGGGAGGGAGAGAACAATGTTTCTGCAATGCAGAAACAGAGTTGTCCTCAGTCTGGGAGGACAAATGGAAATGATGAATACAGTAGCAACAAATAGAACCAGCTTTGCCCAAAAGACAACCAAAATCAGCTAGATAATGCTCAACATTTGTACATCACATGGAAAATTAAATAATTTTAGAACAGCTCCACGTACTGTACAGCTCCTTATTGCACTGCCAATAAAAAAAAAAGAAAGAAGAGAAGAGAAGAGAAGAGAAGAGAAGAGAAGAGAAGAGAAGAGAAGAGAAGAGAAGAGAAGAGAAGAGAAGAGAAGAGAAGAGAAGAGATAGAATTGAAGCACTGAAATGGCAAACAAGGACAAATTCTCCTCACAGCACTTTTCACAAAGGTGAGAAACAAGCTTTGTGTTTCAGCCTGTTTCCTCCAAGGGCTGCAGCAACACTGATGGTTTCCTTCTCCTGACAGCAGGTTCAGGGCCTTTTCTCTTCTGGTTTTCATGATGCTTCCTGTGGTTGCGCTCCCAGACAGGGCTGTCCATGCTCTGAGCTGGTCAGGCTCTTCAGCTCCCCTCAAACAGCATCTCTCTGCAAGAAGTGCTCCTTTTCTTCTCGCTGCTCAAATCCATTGAAGACAAGAGCCACTGCTAGGACTAGGGGGGAAAACAATCAGGTCAGATTACAAGTATCATCTGTGGAGGTGTAAGGTCCATTTCAAACAGGAGGTGCCTCAGCATCCTTGAGAAACAGGACAAGATGGTCACCTTAAAATGTGACCCACAGCAAAGGCTGCTGTGGGTCTGAGGAAGCTCAGAGACTTCACTGAAGGCAGAGTCTGCATCACCCTTCCAGTGTTTTACAGTGACCCCTGAACTCCCAGATGCACAGTCCCACTTCTGGGCCCTCAGCTCAGGAAGGACATTGAGGGGCTGGAGCGTGTCCAGGGAAGGGAACGGAGCTGGGGAAGGCTCTGGAGCACAGGTCTGAGGAGCAGCAGCAGAGGGAGCTGGGAAAGGGGCTCAGCCTGGGGAAAAGGAGGCTCAGGGGGAACATTCTGGCTCTGCACAGCTCCTGACAGGAGGGGACAGCCAGGTGGGGTCAGGCTCTTTTCTCATGTAACAAGCAACAGGACAAAAGGAAATGGCCTCAACTTGTTCCAGGGGGATTTAGATTGGATATTAGGAACAATTCACTCAACTAAAGAGTCATCAACCATTGGAACAGGCTGCCCAGGGCCATGGTAGACTCACCATGAAGTCCCTCAAGGTATTTAAAAGTCACATAGGTGTGACCCTTGCGGACATGATTTAATGGTGGGTTTGGCAGCACTGGGTTCATGGATGAACTTGACCTCAGAGGTCTTTTCCAACCTAAACAATCCCATGATTCTGAAGCTCTCTGAAACAAGACTTTTTTTTTTTTAAACAATCATCTCAGGTGTGACAAACTTCTCCAGCTCTAATGAATCAAACTCCATGTTTACACCCAAGTTTACAAAATTGGATGACTCATACCTTTCCCCTCTGTTATGCCACAATAAACACCTACACGTGGTTTATTCCACCCAGGTGAGTGACAACATCAACCCAAATTCCCAGGCACACACAGCCATAGTTTCCACATCAAGTTTTGCCCGGTGAGATCACTCAATATTTTTATCAAATGTTGCTGAGTCATGGGATTAGTGACATTTCCATCTGTTGTTTCCAGACTATTATATTGATGGTGTCTTGAGAGAATTTTATCTTTCAAATTTCCAATCCTGATGTAACGCCTGACAAGATGTGAAATATCTTTATTGGATCTTCCTGGATCTATAAAAGAACTGTAATCTCAAAGTTGCACAGTCTCTCCTGCCCCAAATGACCCATTTCAGAGAGGAGGAACAGTTGCCTGAACCCCTCTATTTTCCCCTCATAAGCCACATACACATTTAAACACAGAGTGACTGGAAGACCTTCTGCAGCTTTCAATACAAGGATCGTAACTGAGTAATAGACTGGAGAAAAAGCAACGAAATTATTTTTCCCATGTCCAAACTGTACTGACACAGTTTCTTTTGGCAGACAGCAAAACACTGCAGGTAATTCTTGGGACACTGTGTGAAACCACTAAGACTTGGTACCAAAAGAAATCTCAGGACAACAGACAAAAGTTTTCCTGTAGAGATAGGAAACACCAGCTGAGTGATGTCAACACTTCAGTTTTGCCAAAGTTTTGTAGGAAGCTGCTAAAACACAGTTTGTTTCCTTAAGGTTGAATTGCTTTAATGAATTGTTCTGATTTCTGAAAGAACCTCAAGCTCTCATGAGTGCACATCAATTAGCACCAAAGACATTGGCTGGGCTCTCAGTGGTTTCCATCCCTCAGATGAAAGCAGAACAATCCTCTGACATCCTAAAGCAGCCCTGCTGACATACAGATCCATATTTTTGTGAAGGCAGCAAACAGGTCATTATATTGGGATTTCTGATTCCTAATTCTGTTCCTTCGTTATTCAGTGACCTTAAAGTAAATCTAATATGAGGAAAAAAGTTACTATGACTGTCTACCAAAAGGGCTTTGACATCTGCAGGTGAAGAGACTGGTTAAAAATACCACTTTTAACTTGTAACCACAGCAGTAGGTAATGAAAGAGTCACAAAAATCTATCAATTGCCACTTCTGATCTTTAGAACCTTAATATCCTGAGCAGACTATTGAGATACCTGTATGTCCTTCAGCAAGAATTTACATTTGAAAAATGTTACATGGTGTAAGATGTAGTGGATGGTTCCATTCTTCCAACATACAAATCAGGTTTGTAAATTGGTAAATTAGCCATTAACAGGAAAATAAATAGCCTTTACCTTTTCTAGACCCCACTTCCGCCTTGATGAAAAGCAGTTCATCCTTAATGCTTCTCTTGTCTGCAGATTAAATAAATAATTTTAAAGGGACCAGTTTCTCAAGGTGTAGAAAATGTTCATATAATCCAGAATAAGTACCTTTCTGTCCAGAAGTGTCCCAAACAACAGGATGAAGAATCCCTAAGAAATTGCAAAACCAGTTAACAAAATCAGCATAACCACGTGATATTTCTTAAGTGTTTCTAGATGTCTTTTCATTAAGGAGAGATCTAATCACCTGTGATTCAGCTAACAGCAAAGCACAAAATGGGTTTATCCACCCAGGGCTCTCTGGGAACAGCAGGAATGGATATAACCTGCGTTAATCCTGACTATGAACTGGACTGATGGGTAACAAACCAGGACTTTCTCAGCCCACTCAGTGCAGCCTGATCTCCTGCCTGAAGAGCTAAGGCAGACTGGGTGTGCAGCAATGCATCAGGTAACACTGGGTGTTTTTGCTGATGAGTTAATCAAAACCATGGAATCAGCTGTGGAATGGAATGGGTTGGAATTGACCTTAAAGGACATCCAACTCCAATCCTCTGACACGGGCAGGAACACCTTCCACTACCCCAGGTTACTCAGAGCCCCATCCAGCCTGGTCTTGAACATTCCCAGGGATGGGGCATCCACAGCTTCTCTGGGAAACCTGGGCCAGTGCCATCTTCACCGGAAGGGAGAATTTTCTGAGTAATTGTTAATTGATAAGGATCAGACATCTTTGCAGTTATGGACATTAACTGGTGTATTTTACATCTAACAGAAATTAATAATGGGATTATTTCTTCATCCCACTTCCAACCAGACCAGTTTGTCCCATGACCCATCTGCACCTAGAACACCAGCCCGGGATGCTTCGTGCGTGTGCCATGGGAAAGCACTAGGTGGAAGGGAGAGCTGAGTTCCTGCTTTTCACACACATCTGCTGCAGCCCCTCTTTGATCTCATACCTTTATGCCAGGCTCAAGGTCTGAGCACCCACAGTGCTCCCAGTGTCCCAGAGCTCACCTGGAAGGCGTTCAGCAGCGCAAACACGACGTGGAAGGCCAGAGAGCGGCTGTCGATGATTGTGGCTAACCCAAAGCCCCAGGTGAGGCCCAGCAGAGGCGTCAGAAGGGCAATGTTTTTGCTGACTCGGATCATGCTGCTCAAATCTTGTGACTTGCAGCCTTCTCCAAGGGAGGATCTCCCAGTCTTCACCACAACCACGACTACCACAATGAGATTCATCACAATGATGCTCAGCGCAGGTACAACAAAAGCCAAAAGGGCTTTTGTCTCATACCAATTGAGCCAGCAAGCTCCATTCCTTAAATACCCATTTTTTGGTTCAGTAATAGCAACGGTGAGGACAGATATGACCAAAGGACATCCATATCCAATGGAGAATGCTGCAACTAAGAACACAGATCTTGTTATCTTAAAAAAAATTAATAATAATCCATAGAGAATTAAGAGGCCCAGGGTAAACATCCAAAAAAACAGGGCAAGATAGAAAAAGTGAAGGAAAAAAGTGGCTGCCACACACAGCTGGTAGTTCAGGGCTGCGTTGTGCACAATGGCTGCCAGGATGAACAGGACATCAGCGACGAGAAGTGAGGCGGCGATGTTGACCAAGCAGAAGTGGCGCATGTAGGTGATTTCAGTTTTGGTGACGTGCTGCCACACCATGGCCTCGATGACGAGGCAGAGGACCAGGCTGAGAATGGAGAGCCCCAGGCCCACCCGTGTGATGTAGTCCAGCAGGGAGCTCCGTGGCACGGCCGGGGCCATCAGGATGGAGAAGGCTCCGTAGGTGCGGCGCCGGTGGGCGCAGACGCAAACCACGGCGCTGGCGTTGTGCGCGCGCACCTGGCACGCCCGCGGGTCCCAGCGCCGCTCGGCCGAGTGCCACCCTACGCACTGAGCCTCCACCTGCTCCAGCTTGTTCAGCTTCTCAAAGGTGAGCAAAACGCTCTGGAGCTCCTCTGGCAGCGACACCGACAGCACCATCCCGTTCACAACAGCGGGGTCCGGCCGCTTCGTCTCCAGGATGGCTCCGAGCGTTGGAAATGCAACACTGATGGCTTTGGAAGCCCTGGGCAACCTCAGCAGCTCCTGCTCTGGAATCACCACGTGGCCAGTAATATTGCCTGTGCTGTTGAACTCCATGGAAAAGTCAAAGCTCTTTCCTGAAGTGTTTCTGTGTATGCTGTAGCCTTTGGTAGCGATGAAGGGCTCCTGGATACTTTCTGACCCATTTCTTAGAAGAAGTTTCCCAGCAAATAAATTCACCGAGTCCAGTAATATTGAACCAGCATTTCTGTCCTTCACAAAAGCCCAGTTGGAAATGATGGAGCTATTCAGGATATGGTTTGCTATCCTGCTGTAGCTCTGAAACAACCAAGCAAAATAGAAATTGTTTTCTATTAGAAGAAACCAAATATTATTCTCCTGGCAGTGCCTCCAAAAAGGCTCATTTAATTCATGAGTGATTTCTATAAAAGGAATAATCCTTTTGACAATGAATATATTCCCATGACCCAACCCAGTCAAACCCAAACATCTCATTACTAGAATTGTCCCATCCTCTTCATATCCTCCATCAAAAGGTGATTAGAGAAGTAAATATAAAGCAAAAAGGACAGCCTAGTTCTGTTCCAGATGCTGACCCACAGTGGAGGTCTGATTTTTACCCCCCTTTCTGTATTTCTTCCCCTGCTCTCGGATCTCTGAGTTCATCAGGCAAAGATCTCAGCTGTGTTGTACAAGGCTGCCTTCCCTACAGTGTCATACTTTAGAAAGTAATTCTTCCTTGTACTGGTAGCCCATGCCTATAACAGCAGATCTGAAAACCTTTGGTTTTAAAGACATTTAACTCCACAATCTATTTTCATCACACATGAATAAGTAAAAAAGTTTCTCTGCTAACAAATATTCCACTCTGGAAACTCTTTCCAGGTGATCTCCATGTGATCTGCAGCCAGCACTTTATTGGACAATGGCCATAAGGACAAAATACTTGTGGATGCTCCGTAAAGCTCAGAAGCACCTCTCAAAGCCAATAAAAGTAAATACCTGCATTTTTCCTCTAGTGACATTCTCTGATAGCAGCAGGGAAATCTTCTTTAGCAATTCCACTATATCAGCAATGTTTCCTGGGATGGCTGGTGAAGACAGGATATCTGGGATGATGCATGAAAAATCAGCTTGGCAGCTATGATTCCCAGCACCAAAATGTTTTGCTCCATCTCCAAGCTTCCCAGGCCCTAGCTTTCCTCCTCCTAAAAAAGGAAGATGTCCTCCAGAGCATGGGAGTTCACTTTGGGATATCCTCTAGAGGGAGGAAAAAGATTTGAGAAAATTAATGAAAAGAATGAAAATGAAGACACAGCTACAACTAGGCAAGACATGCAGTGCTGGGTGCGCAGGGAAGGTGCCAGATGGGCTGAAACCCAGGATCAAAGATCACCTGAGAAGAATATCATGGTTTTACTACACACATGAAGGAAGGGCAAGAACTAAATGCAGTGTCTTATTCTTGAAGTGACTTGATTAAGGATTTTGCAGCAGATGAGAATTTGTCATAAATCATCTGATTATTACACACTTTAGTGTTGTTCTTTTCACAGTTTCAACCTACTGTGTTCTTATCTTGGTTTAGATCCACGTGAGGAACACCAGCCAAGTGAACAAGGCAACTTCATTTCTGAATTATGTTTCCACACAAGAATCCCCCAAATTTATTTCCTTTCACCTGATTTGAGATTGTGAAAGAACTAGAGCAAAGTCTGATGAGGAGTGGCTGCGGGATCTGTGATGTTCAGTCTGGAAAAAAGGAGGCTCAAGGGGGACCACATCACTCTTTACAACTACCTAAAATGAGGTAATAGTGAGGTGGGGGTCAGCCCTTCTCACAGGTAACAAGTGATAGGACAAGAGGCCATGGTCTCCAGTGACATCAAGAGAGGTTTAGATATTAGGAAAAGTTTCTGAAAGGGTGGTCAGGCATTGGAACAGACTGCCCAGGAAAGTGGTGGAATCACAATTCCTGGACATGCTCAAAAAAGGTGTGGAGGTGGCACTTGGGGAGGTGGTTCAGCAGTGAAATGGGGCTGCTGGACTAATGGCTTCACTCAATGATCTTAGAGGCCTTTTCCAACCTAAACAGGTCTTTGATTCCATGAAGTCAGAGCCTGTTATCAAAGTATTCTGTGTTTTAGCATCCCATCTCCCTTTGCTCAACACTGAAAGTGCATGGAAGGAGGGTGTCTGTCTTCCCAAGAAGTTACAAGCATAGAGCAAGGTGCCCAACAGCATCCTCACCTGAAAAAGGGACTGAACATCCAGGCTTGCACAAGCATCTGACAGCATCTGCCACTTTCTGTCCTCACAGACAAAGCTTGTCTCCCCATGGAAGGAGGGAGAGCAAGGCTGAATACAAATTGCTCCATTATCTTGGCAGGGAATGAGATTTATACAGGCATCTGGAAAATAAACCAAGCATACACTGTTACAAGGTGAAAGACAGCATACCATGGTCTGTGATGCATCAGAGGTGTGAAGTATTGATAACTGATAACATCTCACAAAGATGGGCTCACAAACATCTCACAAAGCATTACCCAGGGCACTGTACCTTGCTCATAACCAGTCTTTGATTCGTTACCAAGAACCTGCAAAATAAGAAGTGGAACATCGAGTCAATGTTCACATAAATAAGTAAAAGATGAGTCCTTGGTACAAACCAGAAGGGGTTTCAGGAGGAAAATAGTCCTTTTTTTGAGGTCCAGAGAGCAGAGCTTGTGGCCCTTTGCTCATACAGACCAACTGAGATTTCTCTACTTAAAGTCTGCCTCTATATATGAAGCCTTCAGTTGGACCCTGCTGCTGAGGTGACACTCTGAGCTCATGCACAGATCTCAGATGAGAAAGTTGTTTATGATGAGGGTGGTGAGACACTGGAACAGGCTGTGGCTGCCCCATCCCTGGAAGTGTTCAAGGTCACTTGATGAGGATTTGAACAGCCTGGTCAAGTGAAACTTACCCTGGGAGTGGTGTATGGCATGGCCAGGAAGAAGTGTGCAGCCCAAAAGAGCAGGCAGTAGATCACCCTTACATCCATCACCACTCATTTGCTGATTTCCTCCTGGAATAAAGATGTTAAAGAAGTTTAGACATCTCTGTTTCCACTTTTTGAACGCAGTTTTATTATTACTAGTAAAAAAGCAGCTAAACCTATGCCAGAGACTGTCCTTACTGGGCTTGCAAGGTGATTTTCAGGCATTCATAATTCAGTTCCTTTACTGAATGACTTGTGAGCCCTTCCTTTAAAAAAAAAAAAAAAAATCTGTTCAATGCTGTAAACTGCAATCTGGAGAGCTTATTAAAGCCTCTCAGCCTGTGGGTCCCTTCTGAAGTGGTTTAAGACAGGTCTCATCTCCACTGGGTTCAATGCTCTGCTCTCCTTGGGCAGTTCCTGCCATGTTAGTAGCAAATGTGGGCACTCAGGGCCCTGAAATCAAACTGTGATAAACAAGGGTCATAAACAAGGGTCAGAGTGAAGAGTTATTTCCTTTGCAGAAGAATTCAGACCTCTATTCCCTCCATGAAATTTCCCACAGTCCTTAATAAAAGCTAAACATCCTGGGATGCAACTTGTTACAAGAACATTTGTTAGAGAAAAATAACCCAGCAAAGGGAATGAAGGAAAAACAACATGATACATCAAATCTCATTATTAGATGCTAGACATGTCCAAGGCAAAAACAACAGCTGCTGTGGGCTCAGAAGAACTGAGACACTGATCTTCTATCACCACAAGTAAAAGTAGAAAAAATTAATTAAAAAAATAATCAAAAATAAAATACATAAAAGTTAGTGAGCTAAACCACTAAAGCAAGAACTGTGACAAAACAGGATGACAGCTTGATCTCAAGAGAAGGCAACATGAAAAACCTTATCAAATTATCATGCCTTGAGAGGAGCCCCTCAATTTTCCCCCTGACACATACTGATCAGCACAAATGATGCTGATCAGAAGCAGAAGGGGTCCTGCACTGGGAGAGCAGAGATGTGTTTTCCCATCCAGAGGCTCCAGGCTCTCCCCTCTGACAGCATCAAAGGCCCAGGCACACAGCTGGCTGCCCCTTTCATCTCTGATGTTTGTCCACCATGTTATGATTTCAGATTTTTAGGGTTTATTACCTAATCATGAAATTACCATGAAAGAGTTCAACTAATGCACTGAATTTCTTAGGTAGCTCTTAAGGAGAATCTCATGCCAGTCTCTGAATTCGGCTGTTAATATGAAAAACATTTTCTGGGTTAAAAGCTAGCAGCCACCAGCTCTTCTAAGGAAATAAAATAGATCAGGCAAAACAAAGCAGAATATTGGGATCAATATTGCTAAAGAAGGGGAGGTGGCTGGGAAACACCTACAGGTTTGGGGTGAAAGGCTGCACCGAATTCCTTTCTGATTTCTGCAGTCATTAAATGCTTATTGCCAATTCCACAATTCCATTTCACAGCTCGGAATCCTTGAGCTCATCGTGCCTCACTAATTAATTCACATTCATTTTGTATTTAATCACGGGTGGAACCCCACCTAGGGCTGTTACCTCTGAGTGAGGCAGAAATCTGGGACATCTCCAAGAATGCCGGGCTCACCGAGACACCGGCCCCTGCCAGCAGTGGAACATGGAGCTCGCTCGGCTGCATTGTTTGACTCATCCTGGAAACCACCCAGTCCCAGCACTGCGGCAGCCTGCCAAGGCAACCACTGCGCAGCTGGAGAAACTGAGGGCAAAACAAGCAAGACAGCAGCAACTCACTGTTACTTCAGGGAAAAACATGGGAATAGTGGCACTGGGCCACATGAAAACATAAACAGAGAGAGGATGATTTGTGTCTCTTATCATAAACTATCTACTGCCAATAATCCCTGCCTTTTTAAGAAGCTGTAAGCATGATACTCCTCTGTTCCAGAGGTTTCTGCTCCAACCATGTACCAGGACACAGGTACATGAGCAGCTGAGGTGTCAATACCCTCCCATGTGAAAAGGACTTTCCAGTAAGGGAACACTTCCACACCCAGCTCAGGAGATTGTCACCAGAAATCCTCCTTCTCCAGTTCAGTCCAAAGCCCTCCACAGAAGGGAAAGAGCAAGGAGAGACTGGATGGGCAGTGGCTACAAGAGAGCAAAGAGTCTCTTAAAACAGCAAAAAAACCCCAAAAACCAAAACCAATCATGAATTTAAAAAGTTATCCCTCTGTTGGTTAATGCCCACAGCCTTATCTTCAAATCCCTTACTCTGACCCCTGTTGGTGTAAAATTGAAGTATCTTGTAGAAGTCTATAGAACTATCTTCCTTTCCTCTACCCCAAGCATATTAATGCAGATTTTAACTACTTGGCAGGATGCACGGCACAGCAGTCTGGCCCCACATGGACACAGCAAACAGAGGGATCTGTCCAAACAATGACAACTGTGGGAGTTACACCCTGCCCAGTGCTGGACCCAAAGTCTCCATCCAAAAGGTCCTTCATCATCTGGAGTCACCTCTCTCCCCTGTCCACTGCTCCAGAAAATAATCTACAGCTAATTTACAGGAAAAGGTGTCCTGCACAAAAAAATTACAAGCACACTTTTTATAAAATTAAGATTTATACTGACTTTGCAATAATTTGCTAGAGAAATATATTTTTCCAAACACTACAAACTCGTAACTTCAACATTTATCAGAATTATTAAATCAGTTATTACAGAACGTAATCTATTGGTTTTAGGGCTTGAATGGCCACATGGCTTGCTTAAAACTCAATAAACCACCATAACATGATAACCTGCCATTGCTACCAAGCAAGTGAAGGCTGCAGCAGGAGGCTTTAGTGTTCACATGGTCATCCAAGGATGAAAAGTAAAGCTCTTAATTCTTCAGAACACTGTCAGTTGTATTTTCAAAGGAAACATAGTTGGAAAGTGTAGTTTTAAGTGAAGCAAGTTCTAAGAGGATAGTAATCTTTATATGTAGCCATAAGAAAACTCCAAATTTTCCTTAAAATGATAACACTGATTAGAGACCACTTACAAAACTACAAGAAAAAAAAACACCAGAGGTTAATTAAAATATCTAGTTATTTTCACAGATATAAAGACAACATAAAACTAAGGAAAGAAGTGCAAAGTAAAGACAGCCTTAGCAATTAAATGCATTTTAGATTATGAATGAACTAATTTCACAGACCACTGGTAATTCTCCAGCAGCTCTAATGAGCAGATCTTATTTTCTGTGGAAATACTCACTGTTTTCAGAAGTCTGGGGAATACTGTGAGCAAAGTTAACCCAGCCAGGGATCCCCAAGGTCTCAGACGTGACTCTCTAACCACTCATCTGCTGCCATCCTGCCCCAGTCTCACCCAGCCCTGCCTGGGTGCCCAGACTCATTTGGAGTTTTCCCATGAAGAAATAATGTTGGGCAGCAGCTGCTTCTTTTCTTGCCTGACTGGATTAAGGCTGAGGAACCTGCAGATGAAGGTATTGCACTGCAAAATGACAAAACACCTTACAAACACACCCACAAATCTGCCAAATTGCCACCTCTGCCAGGAGTCCACAGGGATGAGTCACACCTGTGGGGTTGGTGCCTTTCCTCTGGGTGCAGGAGGCAGCTCTGCTCTCCTGTATTTCATAGATTCAAGGAATGGTTTGGGTTGGAAGGGACCTTAAAGAGGATCCAGTTCCAGCCCCCTGCCCTGGGCAGGGACACCCTCCACTCTCCCAGGGTGCTTTAAGCCCCCTCCAACCTGTTCATGAGCAGTTCCAGGGATGGGACATCTACAGCTTCTCTGAACAACAATCTCTTAAAGACTTCAAAACGCTAATGATCAAAACCTGGTCAGGTTAATGCATTGTCCTTCATAAATGCAAGAGCACACTATTGACAGCACCTGGTGCAGCTAAAAACCTCAAAGGGCAAATAATAACATTTTTTTCAGGGCTATCCCATCATAAAGGGTGACAGTTATCAGCTGAACCTTGTGCCATGGTCACTGCTGGCTCTTGAAATATCACCTCACCTCCAAGAGCCAGATTTCCAATAGCCAGAAATGTACAGCAAGTAGTTTATCACTACAGAAGAGCAGTTCCTAACACTCCTTCACACAGGACTGACTTGGAAGATCTCTGGTCACTGATTTTTTTTTTTTCTACATTCCTGCAATGTGTTCATCAGGAGCTTATGGGGTTTCCTGTCATTTTGTCTGCTGTCTCAACTCCACCCAGTCCTCAGTCACAGGCATGTCTCCAGTTTTAACCTAAAGACAGGTATTATTTACTGTTCTGCTTTGATACAGCCAGCCTCACATCAGGATCCAGTAGGAATTTAGCCAGGCACAATCAAGCACAGCCAACAGAACCCACCTGGGAAGGTGAAATTACTTGTACTTGATACAATACAGAGACCAATTAGAAAAATATTTTAAAGTAAGAAAGGCTAAAAACCAAATCATGTCAAGGTATGGACAGGTTTCAGAAGGCTTCTTGCCCATGTCTTGGAGCTGTGCTTCTACACACTCCCTGCACCTTTACTGTGATGGCAAAACGGAATGGCCCTTGATTCTCAACACCCCCTCGACATCAAGATTTCTCTGAAGGACACAAAGCCCAGCATCCTGCAGCCCTCAGACACCCACACACTTCTCCCAGAAGGAAGCTGGGTCAATTTGGGCTCCCAGGAGGCCTGGAAAGAGACTGAAACCATGACTCCCAGCAAAGAGGCACTCCAAACCCTGACCCCAGCAGCATCAGTCTGATGCTTTACAAGCTGGTTGGGGTTGTTTGCATTCCTCAGGCACATGCAGGGAGGGGTTTGTCTTCTCAGCTCTTGCAAAATCCAATTACCCAAGATCTGCAACCAGCTGTGCTCATCAGCTGCTTTCTCAGAGATCAGAAACATCTCAGGTAACTTTTAGAGCAGCCAAAAGGCAGCTGTGTGAACCTGGGTTTACCATTTCCTTTGGAAAGAGGTAACAACAGACTTGTGCTATCTTAATGAATACAGGGTATTTATTTAAAAGTTCAACAGATACTTTGCTATACATTTCAAACCTTGCAATAATCACAGGTTTCCATCAGAAATTCACTTCCATGAATACTAATGAAAAAAAAATCATCTTTGTGGAAGAAAATCAAGTAAGTACACCTGTAATTTTGCTTTTTTAAACTATACCTTCTGAACTACCAAAAGATTTTTAGAGAATCTTAAGATTAAATGAAAACCTGGCAGTTTAAAAATGCCCTGCTGCTGTTTCATTTCCCTCTTCCATATCCCTGTTAAACATGCCCTACCCTCAGTTTTCAGTTCTTCACTCTATACTTAAGTAGGGATTCAAACATGCATTTATCCATGTTACTGACTGGCAGTGGGATCTTAAATAAAGCCTTTGAAGATGCACAGTAAGGTCAGCTCAATACCAGCCAAGAGGAAAAAATGGGGGGAATGAATAGATCCTGAAAAGTTAAAAATGCCCAGTTACATTTGCAAAGGAAAACAGCTTTCCAACTGTGAGGATCCTAAACCACCCTGATAGTCAGGAGCCAAAGCATCCCAGTGAGATAATGGAAATCTGAAAACTTTAAAGGGGTTTGTTATAAATACTTTGCTTCCACCCCCTACACTCCTCCTTGGAAAGAATTTAAGAGCATACAAAACAATCCTGAACAGAATTGAGCAGATGCCTGAAGAGGTTTTTATACTCATTTTATTTGCTGAGTTTGGATAGCATGCATCATTTTACAGCACCGGTAGACAAGTCAGTGAAGCACACTGCTCTTAGGAACTTGTACTGTGGAATGTCTCAAAACCATTACCCTCTCCCCCTCCACTCCAGTACGTAACACTAGCTGAAGACAAGACGGACACACATCAGGGCAACTTCCTCATGGCTACAAATACTCATAGCAGCGACTTTTAAAGGAAGGTTTATTAAATCAAGTCATTGCACTTGGGTCATTTATTGCTATAGCAAACAAAGGCCATTACATAACAAACACCTCTCATTTGTGGCTTTAGCTGATTGTCTTGTTCTGTTCATCCTCTGCAAGCTCACACACAGGCACAATTTTTGCAGAGCAACCCCTTCCAGAATTTGTTTCATGCTCCGATCACAGTGAAGAGCTTGTATAACAAAACTGGGTCCTCCATTAGGCTCAATTCTTGTTTTGCATCACCTGCTCTACAGGCATGAATTCCAGGCAAGAGTTTAGTGTCTGATGACAGCACATGATTCCTCACAACTCATTTGTGATGCACTTGAGCAATTCAAGGTTAAAAGCATTAAGAGTGAATCAACTTACTACCATTTTGACTAGCAAATATTACTCCATACCTGCATAGTGTATCGATCAGGTTTCAATGAGATTTCATGAACTATTTGAATCAGTAATGGACAAACATTCCCCAATTAACCTTTTGATATTTGGATTTTATGACACAAACTGTGGAAGAATCCCATAGTGTGGGATTACTCTCAAGAAGTAACACTTCCATGTCACTTGAACAGTGACATACTGAATAATTACTATATTTATGACTACTCCCATGAAGAGAAGCTGAATTATTTTCTTTTATTGCTGAAGCTGCCAAACTATGAGGCATGTTTTTGTCTTTTAAGTTATAGCAGACCTAAAGGAGATGAGCTGATTAACAAAACTAATGAATTTGACTGGCTTTCTAAAGCTGTATGTATTTTAATTCTTTAATCAGACAAACATGGCAATAAATACCATTGTCTCCAATCACTTTGCATATTATTTGTGTACTATTCTGGTGCAAGTTTTGAGCCCAGGGGTTAAAGATAATGGTAATCCACAAGATCTCAACCTCTTTTCCATGAAGTAAAGACACCATCTTGGACACCAGCACAATGATGTCAAAGCAATTGTTCCAATCACTTATTAAAATACAAAGATGTTACTAAGTTTAGAGGTACGCAATATACTGAGAAAGTTTATGGCATAAATATATAAATATTGAGAGCTTTTGAGAGTATCAAAGTTCCAAAGGGATTTATTTGGAGATATATTATAAACAAAACCTGACTATTGTAAAAACAAATCAAGATGCATACTTGAACCACTAGAAAGGCTGATGACTTCAGAAACACAGAAGTACAGATGCTGTGACTTAAGGTTTACTCTTTCATGCTCTACACTGTAATATTTTAGGCACAACAGGTTGAGTTGAAACTGGACTCTTGCTGTTTCTGTATTCCTTGCATTTTGTGGTTTAACAGTTAATTTTGTCATGATTTCACAATTAAGTCTTAAATCCCTTTTTAATCCAATAGTGCAAGTGACAAACCGTTCTGCTGAGCTACTGGAATTAGATCATTCAATCTTTCTACAATGCATAGGAGTTTCACTTGCTTCATTGCACTAACAAATTCCTATCTCATTATTCATACTATGCTGTTCAAAAGTTAAGTATTCTCACTGCAGACAGGCACAACAGCATAACCCTGGGTAAGACTGCCAAAATTATACAAATATTATATATTCCCTTTTGCATGTAGGGGAAAAGTAGTGACTACAATTACAACACAGTCATTCCGTCCCTTCCAACAGACTATTTTACAGATTAGTTGCAAAGACAGATCACCCTATTTATAGTATAGATCTCTTTAAAAATTAAGCTACAGATATTCAATAAAAATCTAATAAGAATTCCCTCTCCTCTCTATACAGATTCAGTAGTATTTTCAAGCAAACCAAAAAAATAAGGTCTGCAATTCCAGCACAGTAAGAAATAAGGCCTCTTTTATATTGGCAAAAAAATTACACCATTATTCTTTTTTGTTTTCTTATCTCTCTGAATATAAGACTATATTCCTTTTTTTTTTATTATATTTTTTCTTTAAGACTGTAGAACACCAGAGCATCCATTATAATGAAATAAGAGTCAGTTCTCCTTGTGTTCAGCTTTGAATTCCTGGTGAATTAAAAACATTGAGTCCATAGCTGTCTCATGTAGACATCACTGCTTTCTTCAATTTTTCTATTTCAAGCTGAAAAAACAAACATTTTGAAAATAAAGTCATTATTAAAGTAGCTATGAAATCTTCAGAGCTCCCACCAAAGTTATAAGCTTTACATTTCAAAGACACTTAGGTATTACACCATAGAAGCATTTAACAGTACAGTATTTAAAGCTGATTTTGTACCACTATATTGCTAAAAGAACAGGAATTTAAAATAATTTAAAATGTGACTACAGTACTGGTATAATCTTTTTAAAATTTAAAAAAAATATTATTGATTAATCAGTTTATCTGGATAAACTCTCTCTGAAAAAATAAGTCAAAGCTGGGTTATGCAGTCACCTGACAGGTCCCCATGTAATGCTGCACCATCATCTGAGAGCAGCCTCCTAGAACAGCCTTTCATGCAGAACACTGCCTGGATTAATTTGTATTTCTTAACATGGACTTAGAGGACACCTGGAGTTACATCCTCTTCATCTCTACTGCATACTTAAGGCACCTTCACTGATTGCTTTAGAGTCGCATTAAAGAGAAACTCACCAGAAGTTTCTCTCATGTGTTTCAAGTAGCTTTGTAGCCAGTAAGATGTACCATTTCACAAGTAAAATGCCCCTTTTCAGTACCAGACAAATAATTTCCTAGAATGAGCTCATCCTATTAACTACCTAATGGCATCATATTGCACTGTAGGTAGTGTTCTTCATCAGTAAATTGAGGAGTGGCATTCATTCATCAGGAATTTTTTCGGATGC